GGGAGCGAGAGCGAGCATCAGTCAGCCAGGGTTACTCTGGGGCATGACACTCTGGCTGACCTGTTGTCACATGACCGGACGATACTGGAGGGGGGCCACTGGTGCACGGGGGCCGAGGGGCGGTCACATGATCCCAAAGAGCTCTCGAGAAGATTCGAGAAGGAGTTCAAGAAGCCTGGAAGGTGGGCGGGGCTAAGGGCGGAGCCAGCCCCACCACAGGGGCATATAATGAGAGCTCCGTGAGGAGCTCGGGGTTCTTCAAGTGTTGGTGTTCGAAGATCCACGTCGAGGGGAAGAAGCCTCTAGCCACGGAGTCCGGGACCCAGCTTGTGGTCCAGACCGGGACAGCGAACCGTGTCTAGTTATGCCATAGCGTGGTTAGTTGGGCATTCGAGCATAGGTTGTGTTATGTTGCACATTGGTTTCGAATAAATAGTGTTGCTCCCAAGTTAACGTCTGTGACTCAGTTGGACTCACTACACCCGCAAGAGTACAGGTACCAGGTGGTGCATCGCAACGGGACAAGACACGCCAACGCAGACACATTGTCCCAGCTGATGCCCTTGTGCATGCAGCATAGGTGCGGCACGCTGCAAGGAGGCAATGCCGGAGGGAATGGTCATTGCTCCCATGCAGAGGGCGCACAGGGTGAGTTCCAGCTGACTGACCATGACCTGGGGCTAACCTTGGACAATTGGAGACGTCTACAGCAGGAGGTGGCCCCCCCTGCGAGCGCTACGTGCATCAGCGGAGGTAGGGGGGAGGAGTATGTCATATGGGAGGACCTCCTCATGGGATTGGACCCGGCGGGACGCCGGCGATGCCTGGTGGTTCCGGAGTCGCTGCGTCGACAATTGGTCATGAAAGTGCACTACCGCCAGCTGATACACCTGGCTGGGCAGAGGACCCTGGCCAGGCATGACCGTTGTTGACATGCACCGATGGGTCACAACCTGCGTCGAATGCGAGCTGCGGAAGCCACCTCCCCAGGTAACCCGGGCACCCCTGCAGTTAATCACTGTAACTAGAGTCAATGAATTGGTCACGTTGGACATCCTGGAACCGCTGCCGGTCACGTCACGGGGAAATAAATACCTGTTGGTTGGAGTCGATTACTGTATGAGGTGGCCGATGGCGTGGGCCCTCCCGGATCAAACAGCACAGACCGTTGCCGATGCCTTCATGGGGGGCTATGTTCTTGATAAGGGGGCACCGGAGCAGTTGCTCATGGATCAAAGCAAGAATTTCTCTTCGCAGGTACTAAAGGATGTCTGCTCTATCCTGGGCACTAAAAAGGTCCGAACATCTCCGTATCATCCCCAGACCAATGGGATAGTGGAGCGGCATACAGGATGGCCCCGCATGCAGCGACGGGATTCTCGCCATTTTTCCTAATGTACGGACGGGATCCCGTTCCACCTATTGAGGTGCAGCTGACGGACATTCCCGCGAGAGCCAACGCATGGCCAAAGGCACTAAAGACCTCCCTCATTTATTTGAGGGAGGCCTGCCAAGCAGCCCAAGGCCGCATCGGCCACCAGCCAAGGGAGCAATGTATAGATACGAGAGAGGACAGTGACAGCCAAGCCCTTTAAAGTCGGGGACCAGGCATGGCTACACTGTCCTCAGAAGCCAGTCGGCCTCTCAACGAAGCTGCACCGACCCTGGAAAGGGTCGATCAAGGTCATTAAAGCACTCCGACCGCAGTGTGTCCAGGTCCAACTGGGTAAGCGACGATGGTTTGTGCACCCCACCCGCCTTAAGCCAAACGTCTCTCCACCTCCATCACCACCATCGTCACCGTCATCATCATCACCCCTACCCGGGCCAAGGTCACCGGCCACCACTCGCCGACCAGCAGAGAGTTCGGTGCCCTGTGTTCCCTTGTCACCTACAGCACCCCATGTGAGGCCTGACGGAGAGGCAGCACGACCGGGGGCCGCGGGGGCTGGAGAGACGGCAGCACCGGACAAGGCGACACCGGCGCCACTGAACCGGGGATCCCGACGAGAGGACCTCCGATGGAGGAAGCCGCCGCGGTCATCTGCAGCCTGTGGATGTCCGGGCTGTTACGGGGCTCTGGCTGGAGACCCAAACAGACCATTCAATTGATGTGTTTTATTAAATTGTATGGTTGTGGGGGGTTAACGGCTGTTGTCACTGTAAGTGGCGGGGGGGGGCTCATGGGGAGACTGAAATGGTCGATGGGGTAGGCAGAACCGAGGACTTTTTTTCCGGGGGGGGGGGTGACGTAAGGGATGTCAGGGGTAGGGTTCCCACCAAAAGGAGGGGGACAGTGGGACAGTGACAGTGGAAGGGGGAGGAGCAGGTGAGGAGATATAAGAGAGGAACTGGCAGGAAAAGTGGGGAGAGAAGGCTGGGGATGAGGTGGACTGGGGGAAGAATAAAAGACGAACCGGCTTGCAACCTTATGTCGGCTCTCCTTTACAATTGTATAGGATGGCTAACATTGTGTTGAGGAGTTCCTGACAACGACTCGGAGAGGGCTTGAAGGTAAGGGCTTTCGTCAAAGGTTTATTATAGTATATTACAATTACACAAAGGGTGTGACAACTTCCCAGGGGTTAGGGGTCCTACACGAAGTCCTGGTCCAGCCCGGCTAGCTCCGGTCTCTCTCCCTCGAGTCGGATGGGGGCACTAGCCAACCCCACCGACCGGGAAGAGCAGCACCTCCTACGGCTACCACCGGCTTGACTCCTGACTCTCGTCGATCCCTCTCTACCCCTGGTTCCCTCTCCACCCTTCTCACTCTACCCGTTCCCACAGTGACCCCGTTTTCGTCACGGGGTCCCCCTTAAATACTAGAGGAGACATGACGTCATCGAGCCGCCCAGCGCGCATGACGCCACGTTCCGTGACGTCATCGCACTGGACGGCACACATGACGTCACGTCCCCATTTTACTCCTCTACAATTGTATAGGGTGGTTAACATTGCATAAGGTGGCTAACTTTATATAGGGCGGTTAACATTGTATAGGATGGTTAACATTGTATAGGGTGGTTAACATTGCATAGGGTGGCTAATATTGTATAGGATGGTTAACATTGTATAAGATGGTTAACATTGCATAAGGTGGCTAACTTTATATAGTGTGATTAACATTGTAGCCGCTAACCGTATGCAAAACCCGGTTAAAACCGGTTTTCGGTTTGTCCTAGGTATGTTGTTGTTGTTGATGTAAACCTAGGATGGGATGGTGCTGTTGATGATGTTGTAGTAGTACGTTAAACTGATGATGTAAAACGTAATACTGATGATGATGTAGACGCCTTTATGATGGGATGCTGATTATGCCGATGATATGGATGTAGAAGCTATGATGATGATGATGTAAGAATAACGATGGTGATGTAGGAGGAGCGTTGGGGATGATGATGCCGAAGCGGTGGTGATGATGATGATGGATTGAGCGTGATTCACAATGGAGGAGTGTGGGAGCGAGGGAGGGAACGCGTCTCTAACCAGATCCACGTGGCCCCCTCCCCCGCCAGGCATCGGACCCCTTTGAAGGGATCGTGGCACCCCGGGGTTAAGGGGTCACCAGGTCCCAGGGGTCTCAGGGGTCGGGCTGAAGGGGGTAGGGGGGGGTGTCTGTTTGAAGGTGAAATGCTCTGCCGTGTGTCTGTGTGGGGAGCGGTGGCGCAGCGGTTAGCGGCCACCTGAGTTCAGAATCAGAATCACGGCCAACAGCAGTGACGATTACCCTGGGCCTCCACTGGGTCGACACAGCCTCAAATCAGTACCTTGTGCGGTGTGTAAACGTCGTCACTGGTGAGACAACGGCGGCCGGGCGTCTTGTTGACCACTCACCCCCCTTGCGTGCCATGCCAGCCTTCATATGTGCTCACTGTTCCGGCATTCATAGGTGCTGTTAGCAAGCACCTATGAAGGCCGGCACTAGACAGGTGATCTGTGTGTGTGTAAAGGTACGAGTGTGTTTATGTGTGTACGTAACCGTGTATCTGCGTAATGCTGTGGAAGCTACCTGGTCTTTCGCTCCACACGAAGCGTCGGGTCTTCTCGACCACAGTCATGCCGTCCCTTCTCTATGCTTTTGAAACGTGGACCCCTCTATTGGAACATCTGCGCCGGCTATAAACCTTCAGGCTGGCCTGCCTTCAATCCATCCTGGGTTTAACCAGGCTAGATTGTGTGAGGAGCTCACAAATCCTTGAAAGATCTGGACAAAGTCCCATCAGTGAGCTCCTCCTGCAGACAAGCCTGCATTGGCTGGGTCATGTAGCCCGCATGCCCAGCCACCGCATGCCGAAACAGATTTTGTTTGCCCAGATAGAGGGGGCTAAACGGGCACGACACGGGCTGGAGAAAAGACGGGCTGGAGAAAAGATGGACTTACGCGGTACGGGAGCATGTGGATCAGAGTGAACTTGTCAATTACTGGTACCAGCGGTGTCATGATCAGCCTCTATGGAGGAGGCTCGTTGAAAGACGCTACTTAACAGTTGGAGGCAGTCGCCCTCAGCAACAACGGAGGGCAAAGGAGCCACGCTCACAACGAGCGGAGAGCCGGGTGTCTAAAACGCAGCAAATTGGCACAGTAGGGTGAAGAGGTGGTGCATCTGCCAGTCATCTCAGTCACCTAACCCATGGCACCTGGGTTAGTCGCGTGACCTCCTGCCTTGGACACCGCACGTGATGACCTCAAAGTGCACCCAGCCTGGCACAAGCACCGTGGTGATACCACCACCACTCATTGGCGATCGGCATTTGTTGTTGCTGCAAACACGTATGCACGTGTTTGTGTGTGTGTGCCGGTACACGCGTGTTTGTGTGTGTGTGCGTGTACACACGTGTATGTGTGTGTGTGTACACACGTGTATGTGTGTGTGTGCGTGTACACACGTGTATGTGTGTGTGTGCGTGTACACACGTGTATGTGTGTGTGTCTTTGTGTGTGTGTGTTCACATACCTCGCGTATTCCCTATCCCGGACTGGGGGAGGGGCAGGGTGTGGGGGGGGGGTCTCATTATTGCTCAGGGGTCACAGGACACGTGACAGACTTGAGAGCGAGAGAGGAGAGAGCCGAGCAGAGCGAGAGACGGGAGAGAGACGACAGCAACAGAGGTAAGGGCACCCAGAGACAGAGACCGAGACCCAGAGACTGAGACCCAGAGACTGAGACCCAGAGACCGAGACCCAGAGACTGAGACCCAGAGACTGAGACCCAGAGACTGAGACCCAGAGACCGAGACCCAGAGACTGAGACCCAGAGACCGAGACCCAGAGACAGAGACCCAGAGACTGAGACCCAGAGACTGAGACCCAGAGACTGAGACCCAGAGACCGAGACCCAGAGACCGAGACCCAGAGACCGTGACCCAGAGACCGAGACCCAGAGACAGAGACAGAGACCCAGAGACTGAGACCCAGAGACTGAGACCCAGAGACAGAGACTGAGACCCAGAGACAGAGACAGAGACCCAGAGACAGAGACCCAGAGACTGAGACCCAGAGACTGAGACACAGAGACTGAGACCCAGAGACAGAGACCCAGAGACAGAGACCCAGAGACAGAGACCCAGAGACTGAGACCCAGAGACAGAGACCCAGAGACAGAGACCCAGAGACTGAGACCCAGAGACTGAGACACAGAGACTGAGACCCAGAGACAGAGACCCAGAGACAGAGACCCAGAGACTGAGACCCAGAGACCGAGAGACTGAGACAGAGACCCAGAGACCGAGACCCAGAGACCAGGTTGATGGTGGTGGTAATGATAATGATGGTGGTGATGAAGATGATGGTGGTGGTGGTGGTGATGAAGATGGTGATGATGGTGCGTATGTTGACATCGGTGATCATGATTGTGATGATGATGGTGGTGACGACGATGAATTTGGGAGTGATGAAGGTTTTGATGATGATGATCATGGTGGTGGTGAGGATGGTGGGGGTGGTAATGACGATGATGCAGACGGTGGTGACGATGGTGATGATGGTGAAGGTGATAATGATGATGATGGTGACGATGATCAACGCAAGTGACGATTATTTGAACGGGTCCTGGGCCTCCTCTAGGTCGACTCAGCCTGAAATGAGTACCTGGTGCGGTGTGTAAACATCGTCGGGCGTGGTGCTGACCACCCACCCCCTCGGGTGCCGTGCCGGCCTTCATCGGTGCTCGCTAACAGCACTTGCCCCAACAGTCTGTTAAGCCTATACGGGGGATCTCTGCCTCTGTCTTTGGTGATGTTAACCGCGTGCGTCGCTCGCAAGAGCGACGCACGCGGTTGCTGCAGCTGCTGCTAATGATGCCCCTGATGCTGTTGCTTCTCCGAGTGATGATATTGATGATGAATGTTGAACTTATTTCGCACTGTAGCCAACCGCGCCTGACGTCCCCTGCTCTCAGGAATCCATTGCGTTAACAACGGAACGCCTCTTGACCGCTCCATTCATTGGGACCTCTCGCTCCCATCTCTTAATCACAATATTAATTATTTACACTGCTAAAGCGCCTTGGAACCGGCGGTCATCAGACGGTGTACACAACAACAGCAGCCGCAATTCGCCACTAAGTGGCCGTGACGTCACCACGGCGCCTGTGCCAGGCTGGGTGCACTCCGAGGTCACGTGAAGTGTCGAAGGCTCGCTGCTGGCAGGTCACGGGACAGACCCAGGTGGTGTCATGGGGTTGACTGACTGAGATGAGTGGCCGATGCACCACCTGTGTCCCCCACTGTGTCAACTTGCTGCGTTTTAGTTAACCGGCGCTCCGCTTATTGTTGTGAGCGTCGCTCCTATGCCAATCGTAAAACAAAAAGACAAAGATCCCTCGGATAGCCTTTCGCAGACTGTTGGGGCAAGTGCTGTTAGCGAACACTTATGAAGGCCGGCACGGTACATGAAGGGGTGGGTGGCCAACACCACGCCCGGCCGCCTTTGTCTCCCCAATGGCGATGTTTACTACACACCGCACCACGTACTCAATTGAGGCTGAGTCGGCCTAGGGGACGCCCAAGACCGCTTCAGATAATCGCCACTGGTGGTGACTGCGAGCGGGAATCGAATCCGGGTGGCCAGGTTCGTAGCGCTGCGCGCTGACTGCTACACTACCGTACAACACACAGCAGACACACACACACACAGGCACACACACAACAACAACAACCGCCATTCGCCACTAAGTGGCGGTGACGTCACCACGACGCTTGTGCCAGGCTATGTGCACCCTGAGGCCACGTGAAGTGTCGAACGCCCGCTGGCAGGAGGTCACGGGGCAGGCCCAGGTGCCACGGGTCGACTGAATGAGATGACTGACTGATGCACCACCTGTGCCCCCTACTGTGGCAACCTGCTGTGCTTTAGCCACCCGGCGCTCCGCTCGTTGTTCTGAGCGTCGCTCCTCCGCCCTCCGTTGTTGTTGGAGGGCGACTGCCTCCAACTGCCCAGTAGCATCCTTCACGAGCCTCCTCCACAGAGGCCGATCTTGACACCGCTGGTACCAGTCATCGGCAAGTCCACTCAGCTCCACGTCCTCCTGTACCACATCACTCCATCTCTTCTCTAGCCCGTGCCGCGCCCGCTTAGCCCCCTCAATCCGGCCAAACAAAAGCTGTTTCGGCATGCGGTGGCTGGGCATGCGGGCTACATGACCCAGCCATCGCAGCCTTGCCTGCCGGAGGAGCTCACCGATGGGACCCTGCCCAGATCTTTCAAGGATTTGTGAGCTCCTCACACAATCCAGTCTGGTTAAACCCAGGATGGATCGTAGGCAGGCCAGCCTAAATGTTTCTAACCGGCGAAGATGTTCCATTAGGGGGGTCCACGTTTCGCAAGCGTAGAGAAGGGAGGGAATGACCGTGGCCGAGAAGACCTGAAGTTTAGTGCGCACAGCAGGCACACACGCGCACGCACAGCAGGCACACACACGCACGCACAGCAGGCACACACACGCACGCACAGCAGGCACACACACGCACGCACAGCAGGCACACACACGCACGCACAGCAGGCACACACACGCACGCACAGCAGGCACACACACGCACGCACAGCAGGCACACACACGCACGCACAGCAGGCACACACACGCACGCACAGCAGGCACACACACGCACGCACAGCAGGCACACACACGCACGCACAGCAGGCACACACACGCACGCACAGCAGGCACACACACGCACGCACAGCAGGCACACACACGCACGCACAGCAGGCACACACACGCACGCACAGCAGGCACACACACGCACGCACAGCAGGCACACACACGCACGCACAGCAGGCACACACACGCACGCACAGCAGGCACACACACGCACGCACAGCAGGCACACACACGCACGCACAGCAGGCACACACACGCACGCACAGCAGGCACACACACGCACGCACAGCAGGCACACACACGCACGCACAGCAGGCACACACACGCACGCACAGCAGGCACACACACGCACGCACAGCAGGCACACACACGCACGCACAGCAGGCACACACACGCACGCACAGCAGGCACACACACGCACGCACAGCAGGCACACACACGCACGCACAGCAGGCACACACACGCACGCACAGCAGGCACACACACGCACGCACAGCAGGCACACACACGCACGCACAGCAGGCACACACACGCACGCACAGCAGGCACACACACGCACGCACAGCAGGCACACACACGCACGCACAGCAGGCACACACACGCACGCACAGCAGGCACACACACGCACGCACAGCAGGCACACACACGCACGCACAGCAGGCACACACACGCACGCACAGCAGGCACACACACGCACGCACAGCAGGCACACACACGCACGCACAGCAGGCACACACACGCACGCACAGCAGGCACACACACGCACGCACAGCAGGCACACACACGCACGCACAGCAGGCACACACACGCACGCACAGCAGGCACACACACGCACGCACAGCAGGCACACACACGCACGCACAGCAGGCACACACACGCACGCACAGCAGGCACACACACGCACGCACAGCAGGCACACACACGCACGCACAGCAGGCACACACACGCACGCACAGCAGGCACACACACGCACGCACAGCAGGCACACACACGCACGCACAGCAGGCACACACACGCACGCACAGCAGGCACACACACGCACGCACAGCAGGCACACACACGCACGCACAGCAGGCACACACACGCACGCACAGCAGGCACACACACGCACGCACAGCAGGCACACACACGCACGCACAGCAGGCACACACACGCACGCACAGCAGGCACACACACGCACGCACAGCAGGCACACACACGCACGCACAGCAGGCACACACACGCACGCACAGCAGGCACACACACGCACGCACAGCAGGCACACACACGCACGCACAGCAGGCACACACACGCACGCACAGCAGGCACACACACGCACGCACACGCACGCACAGCAGGCACAGCAGGCACAGCAGGCACACACACGCAGCAGACACAAAGACAAAGACCCCCCCCCCATATAGCCTTAACAGACTGTAGGGGGCAAGTGCTGTTAGCGAGCACCTATCAAGGCCGGAACGGTACACGAGGGGGTGGGTGGCCAGCACCACGCCCGACCGCCTTTGTCTCCCTAGTGGCAATGTTTACACACCGCACCAGGTACTCATTTGAGGCTGAGTCGACCTAGGGGAGGCCCGGGACCGGTTCAGATAATCGTCACTGGTGTTGGCCGTGAGCGGGAATCGAACCCGTGTCGGCAGGTTCATAGCGCAGCGCGCTAACCGCTACACTACCGCTCCCCACACACAGGCACACACAGCAGACGCAGGCACACCAGCAGGCACACACACACGCAGACACACACACACGCAGGCACACACACACAGCAGGCACACACACAGCAGGCACACACACACGCGCACACAGGCACACACAGGCACACACACACACGCAGACACACGCAGGAAACACACACGCAGACACACGCAAGCACACACACACAAGAAAATTCCTTTCATCTTAAGGCGCCATTTCGTCTTAAGGCGCCATTGGAATACAACCATGGGAGGGTTGTCGGCAGGGCAGCGAACGTCCAACGGACGTGAATTCCACATCCTGGGGGGGAGGGGGGGGGACCACAGGAGAAGAGTCCCGGTCACCCATCATCATCATCATCGTTGTACGGACACGTGGCCTGGCCACACACAGCCAGCAGCGCGTAACGAGCGGGGGGCAGGCGGGGGGGGGGGGCCATGCCCCTCCCCCCCTCAAGCTCTGCAACCCTCTACATATGAAGGTGTTAACGGCCAAATCATTGAGTGCTTTGACGTGTGGGAAAGATACCGGAGCACCCGGGGAGAGAGCACACGTGCGTGCGTGCGAGGGGGCAACACTCTATCCCCGAACAGATGGAACAGACGCAAGGCCTGCAGCTCCTCGACGCTCACGGCAAGGGAGTCTCACGACAACCGTGTGCGATGGAGCGACCTTTAGCAGCGCCGGATGATTCCAGGCGGTGGCTCCACCACATGGTGGAGCTACCACCACCCATGCCGATGTCTTGCAAGGGCCTCCCTACCCCACACCCCCCCCCCCCCCCAAAGTAGTGGTTCTTCATTGCAAGGCTCGCGGTGGCCTGCAAGTGCGGCCCGCAGCAATACACAGCGTGTGGAAACACCCCCCCCACCCACTCACCTCGTCGTCATCGTTGTGCTGCTGTGACGAACCCAACATTGGTTTCAAATGGAGTGGGGGCCCCTCCTCACACTACTGCCGATGTCTTGTCGGCGAAAGTGCCCCCCCCTCACCCTCTCTGACAATGAGTGGGGGAGGACACTGCTCCAAAGGGACCCCCCCTGTACCCATCCCCGTCTCGTGCAGGGACCTCGCGTGCGTCACTGACAGCGTCAACTCAAGAGCAATGGCTCGCCCGGGCTCCCCGTTCTGGCAGCTCGCCCGAGTGGCGCCTCTCCTGCTGCTGCTGGTGGCGGTGGTGGGGACGGCGTCCGGCCTCCACTACTACCGACCCCGGCAGGAGGGGGGGGACCCTGCCCCGCTGCAGGGGGGCACGCCGCAGGGGGACTGCCCCGCTGAGTGCGAGTGCCCGGCGCGCTGGCCCGAGTCCCTCTACTGCGACGGTCGCGGCCTCAAGGTGATGCCGCCCATCCCGGCGAGGATCCGCTTCGCGTTCTTCCAGGTGAGTGAGAAACGGGTCCCTTTAAGAAGTGGGTACCCTTTAATAGAGGGGTACCCTTTAAGAGATGGGTACTCTTTAAGAGGCGGGTCCCTTTAAGAGAGGGGTCCCTTTAAGAGGCGGGTCGCTTTAAGAGGCGGATCGCTTTAATAAACGGGTCCCTTTAAGAGTCGGGTCCCTTTAAGAGCCAGGTATCTTTAAGAGACATAGTTCATAGTTAATTTATTTGGTATAGCCCTGTGAGCCATTCGGCTCTTGAATCGGGTGCAACCGCAACAAACAAAAAACATGAACAAGAAAACATCTTAAAGTGATTATGTGACTGTGCAAACAGAAAATACAGGAAAAAATATCAAAATTTTCCTGAAATAGCACCGTACACCAACGCTGTGTGCAAAAATCCCAGTGGGATGCAAGTCAAATAACAACAACAACCACAAGACAACTAAGATTAAGGCCATCAGTCTAACTCCGTACTACAATAAACAAAAACATGGCCAAAACAAAAAAACCTTTTCGAAATCACCAAAATAAAAGCCATAAATCCAATGTAACAGTGATCATAGGGACTGTGACCGAATTTTTAACAATAAACTACATAAATAAATTATAACACCAAACCCTAGAGCCATATTTTAGGCCACTGAATAGCAGTGGCAGCCAGGGTTGTACAACTCCTCTAGAGCAGTTTTGAGTGAAGATCTCATAGGTAGTGATTCAAGTTGCAGTTTATTGGCAATAGCATTCCAGACCCTGGGGGCATCAATAGCAAAGGCCCTTCCTCCAGTTTTTGTACGGCAATAGGGAATGTGAAGCTGGTAAATGAGCGAAGACCTGAGGTCAAATTTGTTCTTTGAAACAGAGAGAAGATCCAGTAGGTAGTCTGCGGAACTTTTTGTAAGTACATCGTGAATAAATGAGATCTGGTGCACAAGCAGTCGAACATTAAGAGATGTTAAGTTTGACCCAATGTAGACAGATCCCTTTAAGAGGCGGGTCCCGTTAAGAGACGCGTCCCTGCAAGATATGTCTCCTTAAGGCATAGACTGTACCTTAAATAGTCGACTCCTTTAATACATTTTCCTTTCAGAGATGCGTCTCTTTGAGAGGCGGGTTCCTTTAAGACTTGTATATTTACGAGAAGGATCCCTTTAAGGGCCGTTCATAAATGACGTCACGCGATTTTGGACGATTTTTGACTTCTCCCCTCGTCACACGGCGTCACAAAAAGTCAGGCCCCCCCTCAAATATGACGTCACAAAGCTCTACCCCCCCCCCCCCCCCCCAGATATAAAACATGATTCAAATCGCTTTAAACTATTATCATTGTAGTGCGTATTTAATGTGGCGCTGCACTCTGATGTTGAGGGAGAAAACATTTATTAAAAAGTCAATTTAATTAAGTAGAACGTGTTGTCACACATACAAATGTCTGACCCCCCCCCCTCCCAGGTGCGTGACGCCATTTATGGACGGCCCCTTAAGAAGTGGGTAGGCAAGAGCCCCTTTAAGAGACAGGTCCCTTTCATAGATTGGTCAGAGACGGGTAAAAGGGGGGCACTTTGAGAAACAGGGCCCTTGAAGAGACGGCTAACTCCAAGAGAGGGGTTAAGAGAAGGGTCCCTTTAAGATACAGGTCCCTTTAACGGACTGGAAAGAGAGGCACCTTTACAATGGAACAGGTGCAGCCAAGCGCTGTCAGCCGGGTCTGTGACTTGATGAGTGAGCAACATGGTGAGTGACTGGGCGAGTGAGCGACATGGTGAGTGACTGGGCGAGTGAGTTACATGGTGAGTGACTGGGTGAGTGAGCGACATGGTGAGTGACTGGGTGAGTGAGTTACATGGTGAGTGACTGGGTGAGTGAGCGACATGGTGAGTGACTGGGCGAGTGAGTGACATGGTGAGTGACTGGGTGAGTGAGCGACATGGTGAGTGACTGGGCGAGTGAGTGACATGGTGAGTGACTGGGTGAGTGAGCGACATGGTGAGTGACTGGGCGAGTGAGCGACATGGTGAGTGACTGGGTGAGTGAGCGACATGGTGAGTGACTGGGCGAGTGAGTGACATGGTGAGTGACTGGGTGAGTGAGCGACATGGTGAGTGACTGGGTGAGTGAGCGACATGGTGAGTGACTGGGCGAGTGAGTTACATGGTGAGTGACTGGGTGAGTGAGCGACATGGTGAGTGACTGGGCGAGTGAGTGACATGGTGAGTGACTGGGTGAGTGAGCGATGGTGAGTGACTGGGTGAGTGAGCGACATGGTGAGTGACTGGGCGAGTGAGTTACATGGTGAGTGACTGGGCGAGTGAGCGACATGGTGAGTGACTGGGCGAGTGAGTGACATGGTGAGTGACTGAGTGAGTGAGCGACATGGTGAGTGACTGGGTGAGTGAGCGATATGGTGAGTGACTGGGTGAGTGAGCGACATGGTGAGTGACTGGGCGAGTGAGTGACATGGTGAGTGACTGGGTGAGTGAGCGACATGGTGAGTGACTGGGTGAGTGAGCGATATGGTGAGTGACTGGGCGAGTGAGTGACATGGTGAGTGACTGGGTGAGTGAGCGACATGGTGAGTGACTGGGTGAGTGAGCGATATGGTGAGTGACTGGGTGAGTGAGCGACATGGTGAGTGACTGGGCGAGTGAGTGACATGGTGAGTGACTGGGTGAGTGAGCGACATGGTGAGTGACTGGGTGAGTGAGCGACATGGTGAGTGACTGGGTGAGTGAGCGATATGGTGAGTGACTGGGCGAGTGAGCGACATGGTGAGTGACTGGGTGAGTGAGCGACATGGTGAGTGACTGGGCGAGTGAATGACATGGTGAGTGACTGGGTGAGTGAGCGACATGGTGAGTGACTGGGTGAGTGAGCGACATGGTGAGTGACTGGGCGAGTGAGTGACATGGTGAGTGCCTGGGTGAGTGAGCGACATGGTGAGTGACTTGGCGACATGGTGAGTGACTGGGCGAGTGAGTTACATGGTGAGTGACTGGGTGAGTGAGCGACATGGTGAGTGACTGGGTGAGTGAGTGACATGGTGAGTGACTGGGTGAGTGAGCGACATGGTGAGTGACTGGGTGAGTGAGTGATATGGTGAGTGACTGGGTGAGTGAGCGACATGGTGAGTGACTGGGCGAGTGAGTTACATGGTGAGTGACTGGGTGAGTGAGCGACATGGTGAGTGACTGGGCGAGTGAGTGACATGGTGAGTGACTGGGTGAGTGAGTGACTGGGCGAGTGACGTGGTGAGTGAGCGACCGAGTGAGGAACTCGGCACGTGAATAACCGGGTCAGCATCGGGTGAGTGGATAAGTGTGGGTGTGTAAATAGGTGACCGGGTGAGTGATCAGGTAAGCGGTTGAGTGAGTGACTGGGCGAGTGGTTTTGTGATTGACTGGGAACGTGGGTGACTGGGGAGCTGGACCGGTACCGCCTGGGACCTCTGTGATCTACAGGAGGTTCCGCTGGACCGGTTCTGGCTCCAATCACGACGAGGGGTGGAACAGTCTTCCAGAGCAGGGTAATGTCGTGACAGGCTCGCCATCCCATCGACGGGAGGCGATGAACGGTGGTGGTGGCGGGGGTGGCTTACACCCCCCCCGCCCCACCGAAGATGAACATCCCAGGTGCTGGCTAAAGTTGCCCCTCGGGAGTCACCCTGTCAGGTGAATTTCATGCCTGAGTGGGCCATGATGGCGGCGATTGAGCTGAAGTTATTTAAAGGCGTGGAACAGATCAGCTGGGATTTAGATTTTTTTTTTGCAATCTTATTTATGCAGGGCTAAGTGCCCCAATGAGCTGCTGCGAGGCTCTATGTCACGGGCGCCCTGCGACGGTACAGACGTTGAGCAGCGCGGGTCTCGGTTACAATGGCAGGAGGCTGTAACGGAGTGATTTCAAATCGTCTGCGGGCGATCGCTGCTATGGCGCAGCCTTCTCGGACTTGGCCACCTTTGGGGGTTTGGCGGCCTTATTAAGGCCCTGACGGTAGGAGGCCGCTCGCCTTTCTGTGCAGCCCATGGGACTTGTAATCACCAACGCGCTCTTCCGGCATCGGCGCATTGACACAACATCGGTGATGCCCGCCGGGTCCGAGCAAGGACATCTGCTGGACTACATAGTGCCTGAACAGCAAATATGGGCCCATATCCTTGACACCAGGGCCTACTGTGGAGCCGATTTGCCCACTGACCATCGTCTTGCCATCTATAATATGCGCCTGCCCGATGCGGTACAGGAGGATGTGGAGCTGAGTGGACGTGCCGATGACCGGTACCAGCGGTGTCAAGATTGGCCTCTCTGGAGGTTTGTGAAGGACGCTGCTACTAGGCAGTTGGAGGCAGTCACCCTCCAACAATAGCGAGTGGAGCACCGAGTGACTAAAAACGCAATGAGTTGGCGCAGTGGGGGAGCACAGGTGGTGTGCATCTGCCAGTCATCTCAGTCAGTCAACCCATAGCACCTGGGTCTGTCCCGTGACCTCCTACCAGCAGCGAGCGTTCAACACTTCGCGAGGCCTCAAGGTGCACCTCGCCTGGCACAAGCGCCGTGACGATGTCACCGCAACTTAGGGGCGAATGGTGGTGGTTGTTGCTGTTGAGTGAATGGATGGGTGAGTGGGCTAGTGGGTGAGTGAGTGAGTGAGCAACAACTCTACGCAGGATAACCAGCTGGACGTGGTGCCGGAGGGTGCGCTGAGGAACGCCACGCGTCTGGCGTGGCTCGTGCTGCAGAGGAACCAGATCACTGAGCTGGACAGCGGAGCTCTCGCACGCCTCGGGGAGCTGCAGAGACTTTACCTCGACTTCAACAACCTCACCCAGGTGGCTCACCACCACCACCGCCAACGCTCACCAGCAACACTCACCACCAACAACAACACTAAGTGGTGGTGACGTCACCACGGCGCTTGTGCCAGGCCATGTTCACGTTGAGGCCACGTGCAGTGTCGAACGCCCGCGGGCAGGAGGTCACGGGGCAGACCCAGGTGCCACGGGTCGACTGACTGAGATGACTGGCTGGTGCACCACCTGTGCCCCCTACTGTGCTAACTTGCTGTGTTTTAGCCACCCAGCGCTCCGCTCGTTGTTGTGAGCGTCGCTCCTCCGCCCTCTGTTGTTGTTGGAGGGCGACTGCCTCAAACTGCCCAGTAGCGTCCTTCACGAGCCTCCTCCACAGAGGCCAATCTTGACACCGCTGGTACCAGTCATTGTCAAGTCCACTCAACTCCACATCCTCCTGTACTACATCACTCCATCTCTTCTCTAGCCCGTGCCGCGCCCATTTAGCCCCCTCTATACAGCTGAACAAAAGTTGTTTAGGCATGCGGTGGCTGGGCATGCGGGCTACATGACCCAGCCAATGCAGCTTTGCCTGCCGGAGGAGCTCACCGATGGGACTTTGCCCAAATCTTTCAAGGGTTTGTGAGCTCCTCACACAATCCAGCCTGGTTAAACCCAGGATGGATCGTAGGCAGGCCAGCCTAAATATTTATAACTAGCGAAGATGTTCTATTTGGGGGGTCCACGTGTCGCAAGCGTAAAGAAGGGAGTGCATGACTGTGGCCGAGAAGACCAAAAGCTTTGTGTGGAGCGACAGAAGAGGTAGCTTCCACACAGCTTTACGCAACCGATGAAAAGATAATGCCGCTCAACTGATTCAGAGTGAGACCTCTGCTGTCAAACCGGAGCCGGTCATGATCACACTACCCAGGTATTGGAAACTCTCCACTCTCTCCACAACTGCCCCATCACCAATTGGGAGTTGTGGGGGTGGAGTGTCTGATGTTACAAAATACCCAGGCAGGTGCGTAGTTTGGTGGGGCTGATGGTAAGGCCCCACCTCTTAGTGGCACGCTCCAGTTTCAGCAGCAGCACCTCCAACTCCTCCTCTGAGTGAGCAACAATTACCAGATCATCGGCATACATAACATGGTTGACCAATAGGGAGCCATCCCTTGACCAGACCCTGAAATCGATCAGCCTCCCATTGAATCTGTACCAGATGGAAATTCCTCCAGTACAGCCATCGAAAACTTCACGAACTACGTGGTCAAAATAGATGTTAAATAATGTGGAAGCCAGAGGACATCCTTGTCGCACCCCAAGGTGAACAGGGAATGACTCGGACTCCCAGCCACGTAGTTTTACCCGGGCCTGCCCACCATCATGAAGGTCCTTAATGATCGTGAGCAGGGGGTCAGGGACTCCAAAAGCACGAAGAACAACCTAGAGCCCAGGCCCACTGATGGTATTGTAAAGGAGAGCCAACACAAGGTTGCAGGGGGTTCGTCGTTTATTCCTTTTCTCCTATCCCCACATGTCCCCAGCCGTCCCAATCTCGTTCCCGCCAACCAACCCTTCTTCCCGCCCATTCTCTCCCTTATATCTCCTCACTTGCTCCTCCCCCTCTCCTGTCACCGTCCCACTCCCCATCCTATTGGTGGGAATCCTTCCCCTAACACCCCTACAGTACCATAGGCCTTGACCAGGTCAATAAAGCAGAGATGTAGGTCTTGTTGGAATTCCTTACACCTCTGCTGTAGCAGACGGACTCATCAGGACCACCACTCATCACCACCACCATCACACTCACCATCATCACCATCGCAATCCACACCACCGCCACCACCACGACCACGATGGCACTCACCACCCACCATAACCGCCATCACACTCATCATCATCACCACCATCACACTTCTCACCACCATCGCACTCCTCGCCACCATCGCACTAACCATCATCGCCATCACAATCCTCATCACGACGGCCATCAACCGCTCACGCTCGCACAGCCCCGGTGACCCCTCTCCCCGACCCCAATGGCGACCGCCAACCCCCCGCCCCCTCCCCCCGCACCGCCCCCCCCCCTCCCTCCCCGGGCCCCTAGGTACCCCCCTCCCTGCCGCCGTCCCTGCTAGACCTGCGCCTGGGCCACAACCGCATCACGTCTGTGGCAGGCGGCGCATTGGGAGCGCTGCACAACCTCACCTCACTGCTGATGCACAACAACCTCCTGGGAGAGGGGGGGCTCGGGGCCCTAGGGTCCCTCAAGGTGAGTGGGGGGGGGGGGTGTGAGTGAGTAAATGGATGAGTGTCCCAGTGAGTGAGTTGGTGAGTGTCCTGGTGAGTGAGTGGGTATCTGTCTTGGTGAGTGAGTGAGTGAGCTGGTGAGAGTTTGGTGCGTGAGTGGATGGGTGAGTGAGTGGTGGGTGAGTGTCTCGGTGAGTGAGTGAGTGGGTTAGTGTCCTGGTGAGTGAGTGGGTATCAGGCTTGGTGAGTGAGTGAGTGAGCTGGTGAGAGTCTTGGTGCGTGAGTGGATGGGTGAGTGGTGGGTGAGTGTCTCGGTGAGTGAGTGAGTGAGTGGGTTAGAGTCCCGGCGAGTGAGTGGGTTAGTGAGCTGATGTGTGAGTGAATGCCTCAGTGAGTGCGTGAGTGTTTCGGTGAGTGAGTGGTGGGTGAGTGTCTTGGTGAGTGAGTGGGTGGGTTAGTATCTCGGTGAGTCAGTGAGTGAGTGAGGGCCCCCGTGAATGATTGGGTGAGTGTCCCGGTGAGTGAGTGGGGGAGTGTCTCGGTGAGTGAGTGGTTGAGTGACTCAGTGAGTGAGTGAATACCTCGGTGAGTGAGTGGTGGGTGAGTGAGTGTCTCGGTGAGTGAGTTGGTGTCTGTCCCGGTGAGTGAGTGGGTAAATGACTCGGTGAGTGAGTGTGTGAGTATCCCAGTGAGTGCATGAGTGTGTCGATGAGGGAGTGGGTGGGTGAGTGTCTCGGTGAGTGAGTGGGTGAGTGAGTAGTCCGTTGAGTGGTTGAGTAGGTGAGTAAGTGTCTGAGTGGGTGAATGAGTAGATGAGTGGGTGGGTGAGTGGCTGCGTGGGCGAGTGAGTGGCTGAGTAGGTGAGTGAATGGCTGAGTGGGCGAGGGAGTAGTTGAGTGAGTGGCTGAGTGGGTGAGTGAGTGGTTGAGTGGGTGAGGCGGTGAGTGAGTGGCTGAGTGAGTGAGTGGCTGAGTGGGTGAATGAATGGCTGCGTGGGCGAGGGAGTAGTTGAGCGAGTGGCTGAGTGGGTGAGTGAGTGGCTGAGTGGTTGAGTGAGTTGGTATTTGTATCCCCCCCACCCCAGTCTCTCCGTCGCTTGGATCTGTCGGGTAACGCGTTGCGGTCACTGCCCACGCCGCTGCCCGCGACTCTGCAGCAGCTCTACCTGGACCACAACCTTGTGCCCTCCATCCCCAGCGGCTTCCTCAAGGTCGGGGCACTCAACGGTCCCGGGCTTACGCTCTTGCTGTCGTTAAGCTGATCAAACATATTTTATTGTAACCACATAAAGCCCACTGAGCTATTAGGCTCAACGAAGTGGCTTATCCATACTCTTTGGTTCTTTCGGTAAAGTTACGTAGATAGAAAATTATTAATAGATCGTGACGTTTCGATCACAACACAAGCAACCGTCTTCAGCTACTGAAACAAGGTCTTATATAGGCCTGAGATGGGTGCAGCCTCAGGGTAAGAGGGCGGGGCGAGAGATGGTCTGCCTGAGGCTGTGGAAGTTGCTATTGTATTGTGAGATATTAGCATATCAATGCACGAGCTTAGTATGCCGCAGCATCGGTGACTTGTCTCGTATGTCGCAGCATCGGTGACCGAGCGAGAAGGACATCCAGCCCGTCAATATAAAGACATCCAACCTAATAATGCAACTCAGAGAGTTAGCTAAAACATAGGAAAAATGGAAACATCACAGCAGGTTAAGACTTTACCTGGCTAATAACGTCTTTCCAATGATTGCTCAATTTGTACCCATCTTCTCAGTTGAAGTTGTGTCTGTGTTTATATATCTGGATGGATTCATGAACAAATCTCAATTTCGTGTGTGCCCACAGCGTTAAAACAATGATCCGCAACGGCAGAGGTATTGGTCCTCCCGTGCTTCAGATCTGCCTTGTGTTCGCGAACACGGTCCGAGACATGTCGTTTCGTTTCCCCAATGTAACGGCTGCCGCAGCCAAAACTGAGTTGGTAGACACCAGGGTATTGCATCTCAGGAATCACATCTTTCACAGATGGGATCAAATCACGGATTTTGTGTACTGTATTGAAACATAGCAGGGGTTACCAAAACGATTTTGGAAATCTTTTTGGTAACCCCTGCTATGTATGGCAAGGTGATGGTGTTGATTGGGTCCTCAGATGGTTGTCTCTCCATGGCTGGGAGACAGCTTTGTGGATTGCACGGTCAGAATATCCATTCATCCTGAGGGCTTGGTGTACGTACTCCAGATACTAGCTAGGCGGTGCTTGTTGGAGATGCAATGGGCCCTATGTTGTGGTGTTTTGATTAAGGAATACTTCTGTGCTGGGTGGTGGTGGGAGTCAGGCTTTAGATAGGCATCCATGTGGGTGGCTTTCCTGTAGACAGACTGTCCCAACGAACCACTGGCGATAAGGGAGAACCCATTGGGTACCCTCCTCTTGTTTGTAAAATGTACCATTCCAGGTGATGTAAGTATTGGTAAGGCAGTGGCTCACCAAATTTGGCACATCAGATTTCAGTCCCTTTTGGACCAGGTGTTCAATGATTGCAATGATGTCAGGCACAGGTACCTTGGTGAACAGAGAGACTACATCGAAACTTACAAGCAAATCATCTGGAGACAGTGCGGTGTCTTTGATTAGAGAAACCAAGTGAGCTAAGTTAAGTACAGCTGAGGTGGTCTTGCCAGTGAAAGGAAGCAAGGTCTCAGACAGAAATCGTGCCAGTTTGTAGGTGGGTGAGTTCATGGTGGAGACGATGGGATGGAGCGGTGTACATTATTTGTGGATTTTTGGAAGCCCATAAAATCTGGGTGGTCTAGCAACAGAAGGTTTTAGAGAGAGCAGCTTTGTTGGTTCGATTAGCGAAGTCGAGTTAGTGATGACATGTTGGTTTTCGTAACCGAGCGGTTGGTAGGATCTCTATTGATTTTGGTATAGCTACCATCCATACGCTTTTATCCATGATGACAGTGGCTTTGCCCTTGTCGTCTGAGAGGATGATAATATCATCTCTCTTTTTTAATTGAGCAAGTTCAAAACGCTCGTCTTTGCTGATGTTGCTAACGGGTTTCTTAGCGTGTTTGAGGATAGCAGCGATTTCAGATCTTGCCACGTCTGCCGGGATGTGTCCTAAGCCTTTGAGGGCTACGTCGACCTGGGCAATATCATCAACTGGGATGTGTCTAGGGGTAACTGCGAAATTCAAACCCTTTAGCTAGTAACGAATTTAAGGCTGTCGGAGATTGTGCTGTTACTCTGATTGATAACAATCTTGTTAACATCTAACTTTTTAATATGTGGATCAGGCTTCTTCTTAGACAGGAAGCTGAATTTAACAATCAGGTTAACTTTCCATTTGGCTGACATTGAAGCGGCAGAATAAACTATCATGTTGTCTACATGGTCCCAATCAAATGTAGACATTTTTTTTCTGTCAATGCTAAGTGAGATTGTAAGAGAGTCTTGTCTAAATTATCAAGTTCAAATCGGAGCAGTCTTATTCTCTCTGAGATTAGGGCTAGGCTAGCCCTGAACAAGATTGGTTTAGCATTAGGAGCAGAGACAGCAGCAGATGTGAGTGTCAAGGTGATCGGTATTACCTTGGTGTCACGGCATCTCTTCAGAAAGGTCAAGTGAGCCTTCTTGTCTCGCAGTCTGTTAAAAGGTCTAACAGTTGTGTGAAAACCCTCCCCGTAGAGGCGGTTCAATCTTGATTTGAAGCTTTCGTTACTGCAGGAGTCCATACTCTTTGGTTCTTTCGGTAAAGTCACGTAGATAGAAAATTAATCATAGATCACGACGTTTTGATCGCAACACAAGCGACCGTCTTCAGGTGAGAGAGAGAAAGCTACTGAAACAAGGTCTTACAGTGAGGGAAAAAAGTATTTGATTCCCTACTGATTTTGTACGTTTGCCCACTGACGAAGAAATGATCAGTCTATAATTTTAATGGTAGGTTTATTTGAAAAATGAGAAACAGAATAACAACAACAAAATCCTGGCCACCAGGTTTGCACACATCTCAGGAGGGATTTTGTCCCACTCCTCTTTGCAGATCTTCTCCAAGTCATTAAGGTTTCGAGGCTGACGTTTGGCAACTCGAAGCTTCAGCTCCCTCCACAGATTTTCTATGAGATTAAGGTCTGGAGACTGGATAGGCCACTCCAGGACCTTAATGTGCTTCTTCTTGAGCCACTCCTTTGTTGCCTTGGCCGTGTGTTTTGGGTCATTGTCATGCGGGAATACCCATCCACGACCCATTTTCAATGCCCTGGCTGAGGGAAGGAGGTTCTCACCCAAGATTTGATGGTACATGGCCCCGTCCATCGTCCCTTTGATGCGGTGAAGTTGTCCTGTCCCCTTAGCAGAAACACACCCCCAAAGCATAATGTTTCCACCTCCATGTTTGACGGTGGGGATGGTGTTCTTGGGGTCATAGGCAGCATTCCCCCTCCTCCAAACACGGCGAGTTGAGTTGATGCCAAAGAGCTCCATTTTGGTCTCATCTGACCACAACACTTTCACCCAGTTGTCCTCTGAATCATTCAGAGGTTCATTGGCAAACTTCAGACGGGCATGTATATGTGCTTTCTTGAGCAGGGGGACCTTGCGGGCGCTGCAGGATTTCAGTTCTTCACGGCGTAGTGTGTTACCAATTATTTTCTTGGTGACTATGGTCCCAGCTGCCTTGATATCATTGACAAGATCCTCCCGTGTAGTTCTGGGCTGATTCCTCACCGTTCTCATGATCATTGCAACTCCACGAGGTGAGATCTTGCATGGAGCCCCAGGCCAAGGGAGATTGACAGTTCTTTTGTGTTTCTTCCATTTGCGAATAATCGCACCAACTGTTGTCACCTTCTCACCAAGCTGCTTGGCAATGGTCTTGTAGCCCATTCCAGCCTTGTGTAGGTCTACAATCTTGTCCCTGACATCCTTGGAGAGCTCTTTGGTCTTGGCCATGGTGGAGAGTTTGGAATCTGATTGATTGGTTGCTTCTGTGGACAGGTGACTTTTATACAGGTAACAAGCTGAGATTAGGAGCACTCCCTTTAAGAGTGTGCTCCTAATCTCAGCTCGTTGCCTGTATAAAAGACACCTGGGAGCCAGAAATCTTTCTGATTGAGAGGGGGTCAAATACTTATTTCCCTCATAAAAATGAAATCAATTTATAACATTTTTGACATGCTTTTTCTGGATTTTGTTGTTGTTACTCTGTCTCTCACTGTTAAAATAAACCTACCATTAAAATTATAGACTGATCATTTCTTTGTCAGTGGGCAAACGTACAAAATCAGCAGGGGATCAAATACTTTTTTCCCTCACTATATGTAGGCTTGAGATGGGTGCAGCCTCAGGGTAAGAGGGCGGGGCTAGAGATGGTCTGCCTGAGGCTGTGTAAGTGGCTATTGTATCAATAGAGATCCTACCAACCTTCTGCTGCTAAACCACCCAGATTTTATGGCCTTCCAAAAATCCACAAAGAAGGTACATGTCTCAGACTGTGTTCATGAACACAAGGCAGATCTGAAGCACGGTAGGACCAATACCTCTGCCGTTGCAGATCATTGTTTTAACGCTGTGGGCACACACTAAATTGATTTTTCCAAGACGAAGGTACTCTGCAAACCCTCATCAGAGATTTGTTCATGAAGCCATCCAGACATATATAAACACGGACACAACTTAAACCGAGATGGGTACAAATTGGGCAATCATTGGAAGGGTCTTTGCCGCGTCCACCTGGACGTGAACCCCCTCCCCCAGGGCCTGCTGCCCCACCTCGCCTCGACCTGCCCGGGACCCGAGCTCGTCTTCTGAAACCTGACCCCGAACTCGACCTTGGCTTTCACCTGAGATGACCGCACCCTGACCCCGACCCCGAATTCGACCTTGACATTCACCTGGGATGACCTCAATCTGACCCCGAACTCGACCTTGGCTTTCACCTGAATTGACCTCACCCTGACACCGAATTCGACCTTGACTTTCACCTGAGATAACCTCACCCTGACCCCGACCAAGTCTTAACCTGCTGTGATGTTTACAACCTTCCAACGATTTCAGCTGACTCTCCGAGTTGCATTATTAGGTTGGATGTCTTTGTATTGACAGCCGGGATGTCCTCGCTCAGTCACCGATGCTGCGACATACTAGGCAAGTCACCGATGCTGAGGCATACTAAGTTCGTGCATTGACATGCTAATTTCTCACAATGCAATAGCCACTTCCACAGCCTCAGTCAGACCATCTCTAGCCCCACCCTCTTACCTTGTTTCAGTAGCTTTCCCTCTCTCACCTGAAGATGGTCGTTTGTGTTGCGATCATAACGTCGCGATCTATTAATAATTTTCTATCCTGACCCTGACACCTGCTGTATATTTGGAGTTGTCTCTCAATGTGGTCATGTGGATTTTTCTCTGGGTCCCCACGGGTTTTCCCTACACATTTACCATTAACATCACGTGTTTAGAGTATTTGGCTGCGTTAATTTTGCACGTGATGGTAAGCCACTTCGTTGAGATATTATTTGTGATAGCCAGGTCGCTTCTGAAAAATAGCGATACTGTATAGCTGAAGTGGGCCAAATACTCTAAACACGTGATGTTGATTGTAAATGTGGAAGGAAAACCCAGAGACGTCGGAGAAAAATCCACGCAACCACCACGGTGAGAGAGTGCTGCAAACTCCAAATATACAGCTTGCATCAGGGTCGGGATCGAATCCACGACCTCCTGTATACCAGTTACGGCCAAGGTAGGATCAGGTAACGACCCGGGCCAAGGCCAGGGTCAGGGCCAGGCTCAGGACCAGGCCCAGGGTCAGTCTCTCTCGCAATGGGGCAACGCTGAGACTCTGGACGCGCGTTTTTTAGGCGTTCGGCTTGGAGTAGAGACCTCCGTCCAGCAGTGGACCACGGCCGTCCGGGGCCCACGCGCGTGGTGGCGCAGTACTGGGGCCCCACCACGAGGGAGCGCCACCACCACGGGGAAATTAAACGATGGGGTGGGGTGGGGGACCCGGCAGAGAGGGGCACCCATGATTTGGCCCCGATTGCGGGAGGATGGATGGTCCTCGTCATTATGAATGACCGCTTTCATCCCTGCCACTGACCTTGACCCCCAATCACCCAGGGTGTGTCTCAGTATCCGCGTGTCTACGCGCGATCCCACGTCTCCCCATCCCCACGTCTCCCCATCCCCACGTCTCCTCATCTCCACGTCTAATCTCCATGTCCCCATCGTGGCCACCCTCCCCCCGCCCCCCTCTATCTCTCCATCATGACCCACTGACGGGTGACCCCGGTACCCCCAGGCCTTGCCCGAGCTGCAGTACCTGCGCCTATCTCACAACGCCCTGGGGGGTGCCGAGATCCCGGGGGAGGCATTCAACTCCTCGGCCTCCCTCCTCGAGCTGGGCCTGAGCTTTAACAACCTGTCCCGCGTACCTGCCCTGCCCGCCTCCCTGCAGCACCTCTACCTGCAGGGCAACAGCATCCGCGGTGAGCGACTCGCACACTGTAACGGTCCACGTGCCCCTACATGTCACGTGCCCCACGTGCCCCCTATGAGCCACGTATCCCACACCCTGCGCCCTACGTGCTCCGTGTGACCCACGTGCCACCTACCCCACGCACCACGTGTGACCCACGTGCCACGCGCCCCACGTGCCCCGTGTGACCCACATGCCACGCGCCCCACGTGCCTCGTGCCACGCGTCCTACGTGTCACGCGCCACGTGCCCCAAACCCGGCCCCCCAAGTGCCACACGTGTACCGCGTGTGGCGCATGGCACATTCGACGTGGTGATGATGTGAGTGGTAATTTACGATGATTCCATCTGGAAAGCCTCAGCGAGTCTCGAGACTCTCTGTCGAGAGGGTCCTGCCGACAGAAGTTGGTAGTAGGGGGCGATGCTGCTGCTGCTGCTGTGCGATCCCCATTGAGGCGCCACGGTGGCTAGGAGGGCGTGGGTTCGATCCCAACCCTTGATTCCTGCTGTATATTTGGAGTTTGCGTGTCTCTCCCCGAGGTCCCGTGGATTTTTCTCCGGGTCCTCCGGTTTTTTCCCTCCACATTTACAATCAACATCACGCGTTTAGAGTATTTGGCCACTGCTATACATTTCCACATGATAAGCCACTTTTATTGGGCTATCATTTGCGATAGCCAGGGCCGCTTCTGAAAAAGAGTTACGGAGCACAGTGGGCCTTGACCTGGTAAAAACACATTCCTGCGGAGGGAGCTGGTAGGAACGTTGGGTTGCTCGGTCAATGGCCAGGGTCAACGGCGGCACCACGTGGTGTATTCCACAAATATGCCCGACTGTGAGGGTGGGCACAAGCCGGCATGAGTAGTTTAAACGTTGAGTTGTATAAGGGCACCACGGGGTGATCAGCCCCTCCCCACCCAGCCCCTCCCCATCCAGCCCCACCCTCCCCACCCAGCCCCTCCCCACCCTCCCCACCCAGCCCCTCCCCACCCAGCCCCTCCCCACTCACCCCTCCCCACCCAGCTCCTCCCTCCCCACCCTCTCCTCCCCACCCAGCCCCTCCCTCCCCACCCAGCCCCTCCCCACCCTCCCCTCCCCACCCAGCCCCTCCCTCCCCACCCAGCCCCTCCCCACCCTCCCCTCTCCACCCAGCCCCACCCCTCCCATTTTTGGATGCACGACGGACGGACACAATAATCCCCTGTGGGCTGGTGTAACCAGGAGGTTCCTACCAGTATAATGTTGTTGTTATTATATTATTGGTTCTTTCGGTAAAGTCACGATGAAGGGAAACAATAAAATAATAATAATATATATAAAACAATAAATGTTCTTGCCGTTGGTTTTCACACCTGATGACGACTGCTTGTGTTGCAGTCGAAACGTCGTGAGAATTTAATTGTTTTATATATATTATTATTTTATTGTTTCCCTTCAACGTGACTTTACCGAAAGAACCAAGAATATGAATCACTGCAGCCACGAAAGCTTTAAATCAAAAGTTGTTGTTGTTGTTGTCGTTGTTGTTCTTGTGCACGCCACCCAGAGCTGGACGCGCAGGCGCTGTGTGGGGGTGGTGGTGTAGTGGGGGGCCCCGGGGCCCCCCGCGGTCTTCGCCGCGTCCGCCTGGACGGGAACCCCCTCCCCCGGGGCCTGCTGCCCCACCTCGCCTCGGCCTGCCCGGGGCCCGAGCTCGTCTTCTGAGACGTGACCCCGGGACCTTACCCTGACCCCGAACTCGACATTCACCTGAGATGACCTCACCCGGACCTCGACCTGAGATGACCTCATCTTGACCTCGACCTTGGCATTCACTTGAGATGACCTCACCCTGACCCCGAACTCAACCTTGACATTCACCTGAGATGACCTCAATCTGACCCCGAACTCGACCTTGACATTCACCTTAGATGACCCCGAACTTGACCTTAAAATTCACCTGAGATGACCTCACCCTGACCCCGAACTCGACCTCGACATTCACCTGAGATGACCTCACTCTGACACCGAACTCGACCTTGACTTTCACCTGAGATGACCACACCCTGACCCCGACCTCGATCTTGGCATTCACCTGAGATTACCTCACCCTGACCCCGAACTCGACATTCACCTGAGATGACCTCACCTTGACCCCGACCTCGACCTTGATATTCACCTGAGATGACCTCACCCTGACCCCGAACTCGACATTCACCTGAGATGACCTCACCTTGACCCCGACCTCGACCTTAACCTGAGATGACCTCAATATGACCCCGAACTCGACCTTGACACTCACCTGATGACCCCGACTCTGAGATGACCCTGACCTTCACGCCGGCATTGACCCTGATGACAATGACCCCTCCTAAGCCATGGCCTGCATTCAGCACAACCCTCCACCTATGAGCTCACCTTGACCCTGGCACTCTCCTACCTGGATGCTGGTCCATTGGTGGTCTTCTGAATCGTGACCCCGAGATGACCCTGCCTTCACGCTACCCCTCCTCCCCCCGAGCTGCCTTGACCTTGACCGTGACCCCAGTTCCGGCGTCTCGTCGTGACCGTGTCGCCACGTGGACAGCGCTCGCGACTCAAATATAATCACCAGCAATAAACCCCCGCGTGCCCTTTGTGATGTTTATCATCATCATCGTCATCACCAGTAGCATCATGAGTATCAACAGCATCAATATCATCATCATCACCACAGCAAGATCGCCAGTTTCATCAGTAGCAGCAGCAACATCCGTATCATCATCATCAGCACCAGCATCGAGATCATCATCATCACAGCAACAAGATCGACAGTGTCATCAGCAGCAGCAGCATCGAGATCATCATCATCACAGCAACAAGATCGCCAGTATCATCAGCAGCAGCAGCAGCATCGAGATCATCATCACAGCAACAAGATCGCCAGTATCATCAGCAGCAGCAGCAGCATCGAGATCATCATCATCATCATCACAGCAACAAGATCGCCAGTATCATCAGCAGCAGCATTGAGATCATCATCATCACAGCAACAAGATCGCCAGTATCATCAGCAGTATCGAGATCATCATCATCACAGCAACAAGATCGCCAGTATCATCAGCAGCAGCATCAATACTCTTTGGTTCTTTCGGTAAAGTCACGAAGGTCGAAAAAATCACGGCGACGAAGAGCTGAGGAGGTGGCCATTGTGTTGTGAGAGATTAGCGTGTCAATGTGAACCAACCAACGCAACGATGGCTGTGCGAGTGAGACATCCAGCCGGGTCAATCTCTCTCCACTGCCGGCTGAGTACGATGATGATGATGGTGGTGGTGGTGATGATGGTGGTGGTGGTGATGATGGTGGCGGTGATGGTGGTGGTGATGATGGTGGTGGTGGTGGTGATGGTGGTGGTGATGATGGTGGTGATGATGGTGGTGATGGTGGTGGTGATGGTGATGATGGTGTTGATGGTTGTGGTGATGGTGGTGATGGTGGTGGTTGTGATGGTGGTGGTGATGGTGATACCTGGATCCCCGGGATATCCCGGCAGTTGGGGTTCTGGCCCCGCCTCTTGGGGAGGGGGTGAGGGGAGGGTGATCCCCCCCCCCCCCCATTTCTACAGAGACCGCAGCTGCAGCAACACTCCGCACACAGACAAAGGTCCCCCCGTTTAGCCCACACAGCCTGTTGGGGCAAGTGCTGTTAGCGAGCAGCAGCGCCGATTAACGGCGCGCCTATAACGGTGTGGCCAGGGAAACCACGCGCTCCCGGCCGCCTTTGTCTTCCCAGTGCTGATGTCCTACACGGCAACCGGTAGAGTAGTAACTCGTTTAAGGCCGAGAGCGGCTGTGGTATCGCTCGCCACTGACGTTGACCGTGAGCGGGCGACTCAAGCATCTTTCAGTGCGCCAACCGCTGCGCCACCGCTCCCCACACTCATGCCAAACAAAGACAAAGATCACCCGTGTAGCCTGGACAGACTGTTGGGGCAAGTTCCATTAGCGAGTAACGCCTATGAAGGCCGGCACAAGAGGGGGGGGGGGTGGTGTGGCAAGCACCACGCCCGGCCGCCTTTGTCTCTCCAGTGGCGATGTTGTATACACCGCACCAGGTACTCATTTAAGGCTGAGTCGACCTAACAGGGGAGGCCCAGGAACAGCTCGCTACTGGCGGGGGTCGTGAGTGGGAATCGATCTCGGGACGCCGGGTTCGCAGCACAGTGTGCTCACCACTGCGCCACCGCTCTTCCTACATACGCACTCATCATCGCATGTGTACGCATGTCTGAATCCATACGCGCACATACACGTATATGTGTACACGTACTATATATACACACACACATGTATATACACGTATGTTTGGATACACTTGCATGTAGACACACACAAACCAAATAACAACAACCGCCATTCTCCACAAAGCGGTGGTGACGTCATCACGGAGGATGTGCCAGGCGAAGAGCATATTTCAGTGAAGTGTCGAACGCCCGCTGGCAGGAGGTCACGGGACAAACCCAAGTGCCATGGTTTGACTGACTGAGATGACTGGTCGATGCACCAGCTGTGCCCCCTAATGTGCCAACCTGCTGTATTGTATCCGCACAGCGCTCCGCTCGTTGTTGTGAGCGTCGCTCCTCTGCCCTCCGTTGTTGGTGGCGGCTCAGCTCCACATTCTTCCATACCGCATCACTCCATCTCTTCTCCAGTCCGTGTCGTGCCAATGTAGCACTCTCTATCCGGCATGCAGTGGCTGAGAATACAGGCTACATGACCCAGCCAACGCAGCCTTGCCTGGCGGAAGAGCTCATTGATGGGACTCTGTCCAGATCTTTCAGGGATTTGTGAGCTCCTCACACAATCCAGTCTGGTCAAACCCAGGACTAATCGTAGGCATGCCAGCCTGAATGTTTCTAACCGGCGCAAATGAAGGGAGGGCATGACTGGCCGAGAAGACCCGTAGCTTCGTGCAGAGTAGCAGACCGGTAGCTTCCACACAGCATTACGCAGCCAATGAAAATATAATGCTGCCCGAGTGATTCGGAGCTGGTCATAAGCACACTGCTCACGTATGGGAAAACGCTCCACTCTCTCCAAAACTGCTCCATCACTATTGGGGAGTTGAGGGAGTTGGAGTGTTTGATGGCACAAAATACCCAGGCAGGTGCTACGTTTTAGTGAGGCTGATGGTAAGATCCCACCTCTTAGTGGCACGCTCCAGGTTCAGCAGCAGAGCCTCCAACTCCTCCTCTGAGTAAGCAGCAATCACCAGATCATCAGCATACGTAACATGGTTGACCAAAAAGGAAGCCATCCCTCTACCGCACCCGGGCATCGATCAACCTCCCCATTGTATCTGTACCAAAAATCTTCTCAAACCAGATTATGTTAAATAATGTGGGAGCCAGAGGACATTCCTGTCGCACCTCAAAGTGGACAGGGAATGACTGACTCCTGGCCACGTAGTTTTACCCGGGCCTGCCAACCATCATGGAGACCTTTAATGTGAGCAGAGAGTCAGAGACTCCAAGAGCACGAAGAACAACCCAGAGCCCAGGCCTATTGATTGTATCGTAGGCCTGGACCAGATCAATAAAGCAGAGATTTAGGTCTTGTTGGAATTCCCTACACCTCTGCTGTAGCAGGCGGACAGAGAATATGTCATCTCTGCCTGGCACTTTTCCTGGTCTCAGACTTTGGATCGCCCCTCGCACTTCCTCCACAGATGGCACCTCAGACAGCCATTCAAAAGGGCTGGCTCCTTCTGCCAATATTTGAGGCACCACAGCCCCAGCAGGGTCGTCCCCACCTTGCCCCATGATGTTGTCTGGGTTGAGGAAATTTCCCACCCCCAAGACCTCATAGAAATGCTGTGAAAACCTACTGAACAGTTCCTGGGGATCAGAGATTAGATCGCCATTCTTTCCCTTCAAGATGGGGATAGGTGAGACAGTGCAAGTTACTTTGTTGATGGAATTAAAAAGTGTCACGTGTCCACCACTCATCTTTGCAGTGCCACACGACTCTCCGAACCTCCGGAGAATGAGGAGGCTTAGCACAGCCTTCGCTCAATGTTGGATGTTGTAGACGTCGGGAGTGGGCCTGTCGTTTTTTCTCAACCAGCCAGAACACCTCCTCCTTCAGCCAGGGGAGGTCTGTACTGCATACCCAATGCAACCAAAGCAGCTGCATGAGCCACAGTCCTGAACCTCACCCATTTTCCCTCAGCATCAGGAGGAGTGGGGGGGACGATGTCAACCCCAGCTTCATGCAATGATGAGGTACCTGCTTGCAACTGTCAACGAGCTGACACCAGGCTACTGTAGGTTTGAATGGGGTCCTTAATGGACACTCACTACCGGAGTGGAAGAATGGCAGTCGCATCCAACAGAAGACAAGAGCGCAGATCAGCTCCACGATAGGTCCTAGTGTCAAGGATATGGGCCAGCATTCACTGTTCCGTCACTTTATAGTCCAGCAGATGTTTTTCGCTTGTACCTGGCATGCATACATTGTGTCGTGAGGATGTATCGATGTCGGAACAGCGTGTTGGTAATTACAAGTCCATGGGCTGCACAGAAGTCTAGCAGCCTCCTTCCGTTATTATTGAGCTTATCTGGCCCATGCCTTGCAATTACTCTGACCTAGGTGTCTGAGTCATGACCGACTCAGAGATTAAAGTCACTCAACAGGATGACTCTATCCCGAGGGGCCACTTTAGTTAGCACCTGGGACAGGAGGTCATAGAAGTTGTCTGACTTATCGGCCTTGTCTGCATCCCTCCACTGATGATTATCTTCAGTAGGGGCTTAAGCCACCACCATGCCTCGCCTCTTGTTGATGGGAGGCGAGCCCACAGCAGCCTGAGACTTAGAGCTTCCCACACCTCACTGCCACTTTCCCACACTCGCTTCATTATTTTGTACAAAAGAAGTGCCACTCATTATTATTTTGAAGTTTCCTGCCCCGAGTGCAGAACTGTCCACCCCTTCCTGATGACTGGAGCCAGAACTGGTCCACCAGACCTCCTTTATTCCACAGAGGTCCAGGCGGGACCAATCCATCTCCCGACAGAGGAGTGGCAGCCTCTTCCCTGCAACGAGAGTCCGAACATTCCACGTGTCCAATCATAGTAGTATCCTGTTCCTGGAGGAACCCCGAGAGAGGTGGAGGGGGGATCAAACTGGCTCTGCCAAATGGAGTTTGGCCAAAAGGCGTCATAACGCGCCTGTCCCCTGGGGCCTCCGGCACGAGCTTAATTCGGCGTTTCCACGGTGGTGCTTGTTAGAAGCAGTGCCAGGTGGAGGGGTCACCAGCCCCTCGCGCGCACTCACCTAGGTACACGCACACACCCCCTCCTGCTCACATTCCCACCACCACGGCAATCACAAATATCCTTCGTATAGCCTGAATAGCCTGTTGGAGCAAATGCTGTTAGCGAGCACCTATGAAGGCCGGCACGGCACACAAGAGTGTAGGTGGCCAGCACCACGCCCAGCCGCCTTTGTCTCCCCAGTGGCGATGTTTATTACACACCCCACCAGGTACTCTATTGCCTACGCGCTCGTCCTCCCTCCCGCACTCCGGTTGCGGTTTTTGCTTTAGCCAGCTCTCTGGGCGTGTTGTTCCTCCCCACGGCCCTATTCCCCTGTGCTGGGGTGCCCTCACTGTGGTTTGCTCGGTGAGCTCGCCGTGGCCATACAATTTTAAGTTAATTCACGGAGCCGCAGTGCAATTCGGCCTGGGGGGGGAGGGGTCGGCCAATTTCCTGGCACTGGGAA